CATTTTCCATTCATTACTCATATGTTGCATTACAAATTTAATAAAATGACTCATAGAGAAAATTGTGCCTTTCCAAATACCTTACGAAAAAAATATTTAAAATTGAGGAAGATATTTAATAGTGATATTTAATTATTCTTCCTAGTTTCTCAGAAGATGTACAAAATTGATAATTTCCAAAACATATTTTAGAAAGAGTGAAAAAAAGAGATACAAATTCTTAATCTTAATCTAAATCCTATAACTCTTCTTCTATAATGCGCCTATCTTTGTTGGTCCACATGGTGCAGAAAAGTATTATGTAAAACTCCATTCATTTCATTTCATTTCATTTTCAATAATGTACCAATCTCATGTCAAAGGAGTATTCCGATTAGTCTATTGAATCCAATTGATCTAAATTGATCTAGATGTTTCATGTCGATTTTTTTCCGCATTTGCATAAAACAAAAAAGAGACGTATGCATATTGAATCAGATTTATTTAAATGTAATAGAACAGTTTATAACACTTATGTTTTATTTATAACCTGAAAAATGTTATATTTATAACCTGAAAATTAAATTCCTATTAAGCCTGTACTGATATATGAAAGAACTATGTTTAACTGTTAATGTTTTCTATTATTCTGCTTTATTTGTCATGTATGTTGCCAAGGTGGTTACTAGCATGTAATTACAGGATGATTTAAAATGCCTTGTATACTGTCAAAAAATAAAAACCCAACAAAAACAATGCTATAAGCTAAATAAATGGTAAAATATCAATGAAAACATGTTTTTAGTGCAAAACATGTATGATTTTTCAACAGAACTCTTTTATTTATGAGAGACCAACCTACTTTCATGTGATTTCTGTATATTTGTAAATTTTCCAATTTCGTATAGATGGTTTTATGTGAAAAAAAAAAAAAACACATTTGGCAATTAGTGAGGTCATCAAAGGCTTAGTTTTATAGTGGAATTACAAGAATCACAGAAGTCTGATTGACAATTCTTTTGGTCTAAATTGATGTTATCAGTGCCTCCGATATACATAAAGAATTTTTAAAAACTTCTTTACCATCGATTTAACCTTTCAACCCTGGCGGCCAAATTACTGGCCACATAATAACGCAATATATACTCAAGTGTCCTGTATAGCTTTGATTAAAATCACTTGGAGTTGGCGGAATATGAAGATTAGTTTATTTACACTCAGGGTTCAAAAGGTTAAGCAGATAAAAGCAACTTTTGCTAAATATGACTAAATAATAAAACAATTTGATCAATTTTAGTTACCTCTTTTGGTGCATATGAATTTATAACTATTCAATGCATTGATGCTATTGTTAAAGGTTTGGTCAACTCAAGTGGTTTGTGGTGTCGATGAAAAGAAATCTGAATTGGCCTCAATAAGTCTGTTTTCTCAATGTGACCTCTTGATGTTACATGCTGTAGGCTCTCTCTTGTTATTTTTGTTACCAGGATTAAATAAAGATTTTGCTGATGTTGACATCATCAGAGTATAAATATATGTCTTACTCCACTAGGTACTTTAGTACTAGTTGGATAATGTCAGATTTAATCTGGCTTCAGTCAGATTTCCGTGTCGGCCATTTCTTTGTGGCAAGAAAATCTCTTTATAATCTCTTTAACATTGTTGCTAAGAATATCTCAGTCAGTCAGTCAGAAATGTCAGTACTTATCCTTTTGGGTCTACGATCAGAAAAATATAAATTTTTTTTTTTTTTTTACATGATATGTTCTTCATAATAAAGACTACACTGGATAAATAGCACTGTCTCACAGGATTGCAACCATTTGTGATCTTACAGTGTTATGAAAATGTATTGCAAGTTATACGACCATATTTTTTGCAGTGTCTTACTGGGCTTTAATACTTCTGAAGGAGATGTTACATCGCTTGTCTGACGACCTTCTTGATCCTATGGTGCTTTCAACTCATTCCAGAACATATCACCAAACATTGGCGTTGTTTTGAATATGTCCAAAATCAATGACATTACTCTGAGAATAGTGGCCACAATTGCACAATGTCTGGAATGTTCTAACCGCTCTGAGTGTTTCCAATGCAGTAGCAGCACATTAAGAACGCCTTTCTGGTGTGATAGGGCCATAAGCCAATCAGTGTGCTAATTAATGTTCCTTATCTAATACGGTTATAATTAAAACAGAAACCTAACTCAATAATCAGGTCCAAGGTTTTACTAGTTATGAACAGTTATTAGGTTGTCTCTGTTAAATTGATCTCTTTATATTTACAGGTAATAAGATTGATTAGTACTATTTTGTATCAGTTGGTAGAAAGGCAATATTATTAACTAGTTTTTTCAGATATAACATTAGACACATGATGAAATTATCAATATTCCATGATTTAAAGGGATTGGAAAGGAGATTTGTAAATTTAGTAACACCATCACAAAGATTAATAGTAATATAGATTTTTATTAGCAACATTAGATGTCATAATATATATAGATTTAGTGGAATTGCAAGACCTTCTGTCATCTGACTTCAAATTGGAAATGAGTAAATCAAGGCTATTAGTGACACATAAACAGTTTTGAATTTTACAAGATTGTCTTCTGTTAACAGATTTTCAGAAAATCTTTTAGTGGTTAGATGAATCCTGAGTCCATATTTACAAACCACCAGACTCTGAAAAGAAAAGATGATTAATTGTATGCTAATTTCATGCAAAGGATTAATGTGTCTGTCATAATGAACAGTGAAAATGATATATATTTGAATTCTTGTTGACAAGCTGAGAAAAATGAATTGTTATTATATGGTCCTGGACAAATCTCCAGATGTTGAATAACTGTAATTTCATGATTTTAAACATCTGTAAAGCTGATGTCTGGAATTCCAACAAGGTGTAAATTTGAATTGAAGAAACATAATGGTTGTGTCAGTAGTTTGAAAGCTATGTATTATTGAAAGAGAAAGGCTCAATTATCTGGTCTTACCATATTAGTAATACAAGTTGCTATGGTAACCTTTCCATGATGAGAGATATTGTCATTGGAATAGGTTGACAACACTCTCACATTAAGTCTCAAATATATCACTTACAGTTAATTACAATCACTTTTTTTTTTATTTGAGTTTTTGTCTTAGCAATGTTGATGATGTTGTTTTTAAAGTATGTGCATATCTGATTGGTACATACCGGTATTTACATTTAAACAAACTCCCATGTTACAAAAGCTTAAAATATAGAAACAGTGAGGTGAATAAGTAGATCTGACAATGTGAATGATCTCTATTCCGCTATAAATTTTCCATATTTTGCTTTTTCTATGTAGGTGTGAATTTATTGATTTGATTAAGATCTGGTTTATGCTGATTTACATTGCCTATTAAGATTTTTGGTTTCATAGTCTAAAATCAGTGGGGGAAAATATGCAACACTACCAAGAATGATTTAACAATTTCACAAAAATTGAGAAACCTGTGTACAAAAGGATTAAGAACAATCATATCTATTCTTGTTATGCCTGACAATAACCTCATATGTAGATGGAAGAAAGTCTTCTTTAATTGTTAGGTGGAAATTACATACACATTACAAAATATAGTTCTTCAGATGTTGTTGCATTTAACATAAATTTATTGTCACATGACCCAATATTTGAAAGTAGTCTGATTTATCTGCCAGCTGCATACGAGGTCAGATGTAGCAAGATTGGCTGCTATGATTGGGAATAAAAATTGTAACACAATTCTTGGTATTTTAAGGTAGTACATAATTCCCCCCTTGAATGTCATATTTTAACTATTATAAATTCATAAGCATCTCTACAAATTACTGATCGTGTGAAATGACAAGGGTACTTGTACTGGAAGCTAGTAATATAATTGAGACTGTTGAACGAGAAGAAATAACCTTGAAGAACAATAATGTCTGACTACTAATAAGACAATCTGCTGGTGGGCATGATGTTCAGTGATAAACAGTAGACAATCAGAGTGTGATTATTGTTATCTAAAAGTCATTAACAACTTATCAGTGTCTGGTCTCTCTGTTAATAGTTCAGCTAGTTCATTACACATATGTTGTCATGATTTGAATTCTATAGTTCACATTAGGATTGCTGTAAATACTGTTTTCATTTTAATCATCTTTAATAGCCCACACTAGAGCAAAAAGTATAATGTTAAGATGTTAAACTGTTTTCATTGGTTCCAAGTTCATTGGAAGAGTGTTATGGCTAATTTTCTTTGAATTTTCTCAAAGCTATACCATAGCTCATTTTAAGTTTGCACAAATGATGCTTTTTTTAACATTAATTACCATTCTGGAATGTTCTTTTTATCAACTGATTAACTCCTTTTAAAGTTCCAGTATGTATCACCTTTCAAAATTGAGATTGGACGAATGATAAGCTTAGCTTATGGCACATTGCAATTCTACTTAAGCCTAATTTTGGTCATTAATGGCTCTTTGAAATTTGGACATTCACGCCACTTGTGAACCTCTGAATTCAAGCCTCTCATTACCCAATAGTCACGATCTAGTGAGTTTAGATTTTCAAAGTAGTTTCCATAGAGATGATAGTAGATGTTCTGCTTTCATACTGCTTTCTTACCAAAGGCGCCTCTCTTTAAATCTGTGATCTAAGCTTAAATTTCTTTGTTTTATTAGTTCTTTCTGCTATTCAAAGACTAGATCAAAGGTTCTGAAAATAGTTTAATTCGTTTATCCTTATACTTGTCTAGATCTAAATGATAGATCTAGTACAGTACATGATAGATCTGTCTGCTTAATACGTAATGGAAAGGGAAAATACACCATGGGCATTTGTAATGAAAATCTATGTTAATGTTGGCATGTATCTTCCTGTAATTTTATTTTCACTAAGATACATAATGGTTAAAAGGGGTTAGAAATATTGATTTCTTTTGAGTATTTTTCTTCAGTTAATTTCAATGAGCTTTTATTATCTAGTATCCTGCAGATTTCATAGTAACTGGTAATCTGTCTTTTCAGGAAGCCCTCACGAGAGTCCACGTAATTTGTCACCAAGCCAACATGGAAACTTTGCCTTTCAAGCCATTAAAAAGTAAGATTCAATCTTCTCTTTGTTTATTTTAAATTGCTGTCGGCTTCCTGGTAATTTTTCTCTTCAATGATAATGGATTGTTATTTTTTAACTGTAATGGTTGAATAAAATAAGAATTAAAAGTTTCCAACTTGGAACTTTTTCATGCTTTGGAAATGTCATGTATACATTAAATTCCTGCAAGGTCTTGAAAAACATAGTTTTATAATGAAACTCGCACCATCAATTAGAGAATCATTAAAATCTCCATTGCATGGATTATTTTGGACCATTTTGGTTTAGAACAGTTGAATTTCCATGATTTTCATTAAGTTGCATGATTGAAGAAATTAACTTTTTTGCAGATGTGATGGAAGAAGGTGGTCATTTGCATCTCTACCGTCATCAGGCTATGGTACCAATACTCCTGGAAGTTCTAATGTTTCGGTAAATCACCAGTTTTATCAGTCATTAAATTCTTCTCATTTGTCTCTCTTCATTTTCCTTTCCCCAATAGATCTTGACACAGATTTAATGATACCTCATTTATTCTTCGACATTCTCATTCTAATATATCTGTTTTTGTCTGGAATCTACTAGAAAATATATTCTAGTTAATTTCTCTTTCTACATGTTCTTTGTCTATTTGTCTTGGCAAAGAAATGTTGCATGAGGTATTGCCAACAACTGATGATACCAAAAAATGACAAATTTTGGATAATTTTATTATCAAAACAGCTTCCAATACAAATAATTTTCACTAGAATAAAAACTGAGAATTTGTCTGGTTCCATTAACCTGTCATAATAAAACATTGATTTACGTAAAATTTTCCGACATTTCCCCTAAAAGTGACAGTTAATCCTGCCAAGAATTGACTCTGGCAATACAGACAAATTGACAAGGGTTACAAGTCATAATTCTATTTGAATTGGTAATAGTCTTACCTACTATCGGCTGGCAAACATCGATTGACATTGATCTTGCAGACAAGCTGTACTGTAAAATAATCCAAGATTTCCAAATTTTAGTTTTGTTAATATGTCAAAGAGATTGAGAGAGACGACATTGTTATAATGTTGTATATTCTTTTGATTGTCAAGAATTTGTTCTAAAACCTTTGAAATTTTTTTTGTGTACATACAAACACGAGAATTTAATCAGTGCTGGCATGATGAATATCAATACATCCTGATATGACATGCTATGATACAAGTATTTAGATCACGTAATGGTATATACTTGACAATACCATACATACCAGACAAACATGATATAACTATGTCTGATCCAAAGAACTTATGTAACAGAAGTAATATTATTCTGCTGTACATCTGAAAGTACGCTTGGTCAAAAATCAATGAAACTTTGATGATTAAATGTTAATTTTATCATGATATGTATCATATACCTTATCAGGATAGGCATTGTATTGTGACATGATTTGCATCACCTAGGAATAGAATAGAACATTGGAGAATCTTATTTACTGAAAAATTTAGACCACATCTGGTATCTTTTCAGTCGAGATACTCTTCTCATGAGAAGTTACACCAGTTCCCTTCAGCACCAACAGCTGAAGAACTGGTGTATTTATCTAGCCATTTTGATAGTGATGAACATATGACAGGAACAGAAGATGATGGTAGATGTTCTCCCATAATGAGACCAAGATCTCGAAGTTTGAGGTAAGCTTTCGAACCAGCTTTCTTTTTCTTTTGGTAGCTTGTGAGCTTTTTTACATTTTTGCCTTTACTAAATTTTAGTAGATTGTTTCCTTAGAATTTTTACCTTTTTTCTTATTGATCAATTACCTTCTCAATTCTTTAAAAAAAAAAAATTCCCTTTAATTCCATCCACTTATTTGGCATTGAAATATTATATTTGGTGGAAACATGAAACATGAAATTTGGCACGAAATTCATATAGAATCAATTTGATAAGAGAGTTGATTGAAATTCGATAGTTTTCCTGGTTTAAATTTTACAATTATATAATTTAGTTTCCACCCATTAATCATTTATTTAAACATAATACAGTTTTCAAAAAGATCTATCTAAGGTAGTGCCAAGATTGTTTTTAGCTTTAAAAACCTGAAAGGTCTTATTTTGGCTCTAGTATTTTTATGCATTTAAGATTTGATATTGTGATTAAAATATATCCTATGGTATTTTGTTTCATGTATTTTCTGTGATACTTCAGTCATTCTAGATCTGACATCATCTTTCTTTAATGAAGTGTGACCAGAGCAAAAAAAGGGGGATGAAATTCTATTAAACTCATTGTTTTGAAACTGTGTTGACAGTACAAGTCACTGCTCAATAATATGTTTCAGTGATTTTAACAAATTTGATTGGTTGAATTTATAAACATATCTGGTTATAAATGGTTGCAGATCATAGTGTGAGTAGAGAAAGTATGATGAGAAAATATATACAAAATACCAAGAGCTGTATTTTAATAAGAAATTCTGTGTATAGTTCAGAAATATCTTTTCTTAACTATGATAATTTTACCATGGTTTGAAATTGAACATTAGTCATTGAATTGCTATAAGTGTATTATATCTTGGCATTATCTTTACGCTCATTTTCTTTTTAGTCTAAGTTACTGGAAACCTAATGATATTAATATCGGACTAGTTTTGATTTTGTTTTTAAAAAAGTGAATAAAAATAATATTAATGGTACACATAGCAATCAAAGATTTAAACTCTGATGGTTTATGATTATATATTTTTTTTCTCCACTTGGGATTTTTATTAATACATTTTGAAATTTTGAAATGATTTTACAGTATATTATATATTTATAATTTTGTTTGTTTTGTCTTGCTTTTCCCAGTCTCTCCTGGCTTGCTTTAGAGTAAGATTTTTAAATAATTTTTGTTCGGGATTGCCCTCACTGCATCTTGATTCTTTTGAACTTACTGATTTGGGAACAAATTAGATTGTATATTAAATGTTTGCTATTAACCACGATTTTTGTTTGGAATGGTGAACATTTCGAATATTTTAATACCTTTTTTATTCAAATTTGTATCAACTTCCTTGGCTTTGTTTCTTTCTTCACTTTCATCTTTTTTTTTTTAAATCATTTTCATTGATTTTGATAGTTGTGTAACTTTTGGCATTATCAAACCTCAATTCATCAATCTACTTTTTGTTTTGGTTGAATTGGAAGATAATATGATTACATGGGAAAGCTGAAAGTTAGCTTTTTCAGAAATGCAAATATTTATATATCCTCTTAAACAAAACACAAAATATGAAGAGATATATTAAGTACAAAATGTTGGAATATTTATATATGTTATGCATATTTAAGATATTGTCTGTGCCATATCACACTATGATTACTTATTGTATCATAATATTGTATATATAAGCATGGCTGTTCTTATATTTGTTTTTCTCATAGTTTTTAAAAATAAATTCTTAGTTGAGTGATTAGGCATGAAAAACACTTTTCAGATTTTGTCAGATGGAAGTAATAGGTCAGAATAACAAAATGTTTGCATTTTTGCAACAAATAATCAAAATAATTTTTTTGATCAAGAAAAGTAGCAGGAAGCCATAATGTCATTTTAAAACTTACTTGTGAATATAAACTTAACGTATTATATGATGGTAGCTGTTTATCTTAAAGTGTATATAGCCTTGAGCTTGTTGATTTAATAAATTGATAAAAAATTTGGTAATTAATATTTGATTTCGGGTATCTTATATATTTGAAACTAGATGTACTCTTAAATTTTATTAAAAGTTAAAATGATAATATTTTTGATGCATCTAGATCAGTTGTTAATTCAAGAATTACATACCAAACTTTGTCAGGTGGAAATATTCACTATAACAGATCAAGTTTAATAGTAATGTGATTTATCATTGAAATAGAGTCCAGAAAGAATATCCTAAATTGACAAAATTCCTTTCTGGGCTGTTGTCTGAGGTGTGGAACCTAGGGAAAAATATTGCCTTCTCACAGGGCTGTTTTCAGGAATATACTGAAACATGAAGAATGTTCTTTGAGTGCTGCTCATATCTATTACAATATTGATGCTTATTGATGCTGAAATTTTCAATTTTTTGTTTTTAATGATTTTGAAGTTATTCTCATCATAATAAATGCCTTTGATTTCTCAAATAGTAGCAAAGTAAAATTCTCATGATGCTTCTAGAATTTTCTAGATAAACTTTAATCTTGACATTAATGAGTTGCCTAAAGAATTGATCACTCTAGCTAGAAACATTGACAGTGTTGCTGTCATTGGTTTCAAGAGCCAGTCCCCAGGTAATATGTGATTCCATTACTGAGTCCTCTAAAATTCAACTGAAAGATTCATTAAAAGAAATATTCCAAATGTCAACTTCGACTGTTAATCATTTCGTTTTCTCAAGTTGTCCAATTTGTAAAGCAGATGAAATTTATAGTGTTGTCATGTTATTGATTTATGTACAACTATAGAAAGGAAAAAGTTTGATTGTATTATAATAGGCCTCATGATATTCAAGAAAATAAGACCAATTCTTAACAGATGAAATATTGATTTCTTTACAGCTTCTGCTGAATATTTCACCTTAAGAATAACTTGATATTACTGTGCTGTCTTGATGAGTTGATTTGGCTAATTATAATTGTTAAATTCCTAATTGATGTGGTTGTCAAAAACCTGATTTTTTCTTCTTGATAAGAAGTGTACGTATTTGAGAAATATCATTGTTCAAGCTACTTGTAGTATCAGAAACACAGTAATCAGAGTTGTTATCGGACAGTATTTCAGGTACATAGTGATCAGAAATGTACTAATGCCAGTATATGAAACTGAGTAATCAAAACTATTATCGTGTCTCTGAAAGTGTTAAAATTCCATCCAATCTTAAAGGTATATTATCTGTTAATCCATTCAGGCCAGGATAACATTATTAAACCAATTAAATAGAAAGAAATGGTTATCTTGGAATTTACGACTGCTAATTCCATGAATATCTTTTATTTCTTTTAAATGTTTCTTCTACATATATCTAAATGATGTACTAAACCTAATTCTAACTTTTATAGTGAAAGCTTTTTCTTAAATTTTAAGTAATAGGGATGCTCAAGCTGTTTTGTGATTATAACTAGTAATGTCGCACATGATTATCTGACAATGTTAGGAATAATTCTGTGTTCCCTGTTGATTTATAAAAACTTAAAACACTCTGTCCAAATTAGACCAGAAATATACTGAAAGGCAAAAGAAATGTCACTTCTAAAATACTAATATAACTTTATCAGTTTTATGTACTGTGGTCAATAAACTCATATAAAGTTCTATTGTTTCTTTTAGTTTCCATTGAGTCCAATTAACTCTTGACTTTCTACAATGTCTTAAAATAAGTTTAATTAATAAAGACATATACGGTACATCCAAATGACATTTCTTTTTCCTTTCAGTAAGGTAAAGCTTACATAGAATTAGATTTAGCATGTACACAGTTAAAAGTATATTTGATGGTAATGGTTGCATGAAATCATATATAATATAGTGTTTAAGCTAGCATGCACACGATATACAATTAATACATAAGCTTACACATGCATCAACCACTTTATATTTATGTTTGCAATTTATGGCTTGGTTTGTGCTCTGTTTTTAATCACTGATATATATGCTTCAAAATTGCATGTTCTGTTACTATATCCGTAGCTTAAGGTTTAGAATACTAATGCTTCTTTTGAAGATTGTTTTGAAATGCTGTTTTTATGACAGGAAATAATGAGAATTTAAACATTGTCTTGTTTAAAGAAGCTGAATTCATGAGACACTATGCAACTTAACCTTTGTTGTTAAATACATGGGTCTTCAATTTTGGTTATATTTCAATCTTAATGAGACAAAGTCTGAATATTTGCATAACCAGATGATTAGGTTAATGTCAGCTAACTATATCACATTTTGTCATTAAGATCTGATGCTCTGTTCTTGAGCTATTGAGCAACAATGTACCACAACAATTTAGACTTCATTCTATGGGCATGCAATCATATCTGATATTTTGAGATCAGGTGTAAAGATGCTGAGGATTATGGAGCTGAAGCTCTATCAGCTGGTAAAGCAAGCATCAAAACAACTATATCCCTGTAAAGATGAAAATATATGACATGTCCTTAATGTATCTTTTTTTGTTCTTTTTACAGTAGTCCAGCCAGATCTCCTGGTGGGGAGTCAGAAATAGTCATAATGAACAGTGTGTATAAAGAAAGATTTCCAAAGGTAACATCATCATGTCTTTGACATTAGCTATAATCTTATTCCTTAGCCGCCATTATTTTGTGTTAAAATGTTTGTTGTGATAGAAATATATCCATACTCAAAGACTTATCATTACTGTTTTGAAGGTGATAATCACTAAAATTCAATTTATCAACAAGAGTGTGAGGACTGTTTTATTATATAACTTTCAAAATACAAGTCAAAGTTTTCATATTTATTCCTATGACAGCTAATTTGATTTTCTCATCATAAATGTGACATCATATAGAATTATTAGACCAATATATTACCATTATTTAACCAATATATTACCATTATTTAATTGAAAATGTCAGAAGATGTGATAGTATAACATTGTTTTAAGACTTGTAGAACCTCAATTAATTCTACTGCCCAGAAACCACATCTTACCAATAGAGACAAAAAACAATGTAATTAATTCCTATAATGTTCTTATCGAATTTGGGTTCGCCTTGGGCCAAATAATATACTTGGTAATGACTTCATTATAAGTTTCCTGTATTTTTAGGCCACTGCTCAAATGGAAGATCGATTAAGAAAATTTATAGCGGAACACGAGAAATTGGATCCTGAACAAGAAACGGATGCAGTGTTATGTTTTCTGCATCATCAAGTATTGGAAATGGCCCGTGATGTTTTACATAAATCTGAAGAGAAATTAATAACAACAGCATATTTCTATGAATTGATCGATAATCTGGAGAAATTGAAGAAAGATGTAAGAATTTATTGATTTTACGGCATTTTTTATCCTTTACATTATTGTGCAGGAAGTTGATAAGAATACAGAATAGTCTCTTGTGAATAGTAATCAAGATCTATCAGTAGAAATTCCCACAAGTTTTTGTCATACTAATTTTTTTAAATGATTAAGTAAAATGAAGCATAAATAAGATAATGTATGTAATGGAATATTGAGGTTTGAATTGATATTATCTGAATCTTTGTATCTTATAAACTGATAATGGTTGCGGAGATATCTAGTGATATGACCAACTTGCGTTCAATACCAGCAGATGAAATTCTATTTTATCCATGTACATGTTTCAGAATTAAATCATATGTAATGTTTCTCCAATACTAAACACAAAGGTTGTTTAAGTTTAGACCATCCTCACAACTGGGCCAATATTGGTTTTCTTAAGTGTCATTATTACCAATAAAGTTTTCATCTCCACATTCAGTACAATTGTGAATATAATGCACACCCTTTGAGTTAATCTTGGAAATAAAAGTATATAGTGTTGAAAATAAGTGAGATTGTCCCTCTTCAGAAATTGGCCAACATTTAATGTAAACAGTATATTATTAAAATGAAAATCTGTAATTTGGTTGGTTTTCTCATGATTTCATGATTTTCTGTTTGTAGGCTAGAGAAAGATGTGATATAACCTCTCATGCTTATTCATGTATCTATCCTATGATTAAACAGTTATATATCATTGTATCAAGACCAGCCAGATTATTAGAGTGTCTGGTAAGGGATTACATAATTATATTGATTTTATTTACTATTAAATACTGTTAAAAAGAAATGATATCAAGCTATTGTCAAATATCACATGACCTAATTTTTTTGACCTAATTGAAGCAACATTTAAACAGTGCTTTTGATTGCATAAAATTGATTGGTTGTGTAAAAAAAAACTCGATACAAAGAAGAATTTCTTCAGATCACTGTTGGTGAGTGAGACTTAACTGTCAGAGAAAATATGTACATTTGAGTCATTATGGAATATTGACGGTCTAAATTTGTTCTGGCAGGAATTCGATCCAGAGGAATTCTATATGTTATTAGAAGCAGCTGAAGGTCAAGCTAAACAAACTATTAAAGATGATATACCACAATATATAATCAGTAAATTGGGGTTGAATAGAGATCCTTCAGGTGTGTATGGGTAATTGAGTATTGGCTAAGGGATTGATTAACTATTGGATGTGTTTCCAGAAATGTCTTGATGACGATAACTACAAATTCAGATCCAATTTTGCATAGGGAAAATATACTCTACAGTTGAACATCAAATAAAAGTTGGTTGTTTCTTGTTCTGTTATGCAAAATTTACAGTACACACTGCATTCAGCGCATTGTAATGTCAATTGCATGATTTTCATTTCAAGAAGAATTTATTTGTTTGTAGATATAACACATATTGAAACTATAACTGGTAATTCATTAGATAAAGCTGAAGAAGAAGAAGATGTAGAATCAGAGGTAAATTGCATTACCAAATATTTGATAATCTGAAAAACATGTTTTTTAGGATTTGTCCGTAATGTGATCAAATCAAATTGGCTGTTTGTTGGTTTGAAAAGTATTAAACTTGAGGGAAAAAATTTTTACCTGGGTATTGATATGACATCACGGCTTAGGGAGAGCACTGTTATGGCTCTGTGCAGAAAATTTATTGATTCAGGCGTTTCTTTCGCTAGGCTCTGATGAGATTGTTTAAGCTTCTTGATCTTTATTTTGATAATATTTTGATAATATTTTGAATATTTCCAGCATGAGAAGAGCTATAGTAAATTTCCCAAAGGCAAAGTACCTTGTCAAGATGATTTCGAGACTTTGAAGTTAATCAGTAATGGAGCTTATGCGTAAGTATTTGAACATCTTGAACATCTATCTGAACCCTTAAAGAAAAATGTAAAAATTCTAAATGACGGTCTCCATCTTAGTGTTCCAGTCATCTGATTGGTTAATAAAGAAAATCTTTTTTGAATTTGATTTTTTATCCAATCAGATTACTTAGGTTTTGAGAATAAGGCCCAAATAGTAATATTATAGAACATTGTAATAGAGCATCCTGATGACTTGAACACTGAAATATCGTCAAGTAACTCTTATTATGGAGTATTGTCAAACTTGTCAAAGAAAAGCTTTTAAGGTACAGGATCAAGTATAGTAGTTTATTTACGTGTCATACAGAAAAATACAAATTTATGCAGTTAACATTCACAAAATAAAGATCAAACTAGGCTCTTTAGATCCTGTAGTCATTGTTCTCAAGACATTTGCATTGTGGTTAATTGCATTTCATATTATTTCAGGGCTGTTTATCTAGTACGACATAAACAAACCAGACAACGATTTGCCATGAAGACAATTGGTAAACAGAATCTCATGTTACGTAACCAATTACAACAAGTTTTCTTGGAAAGAGATATTTTATCTTTCACTGATAACCCATTTGTTGTCAGTATGTACTGCAGTTTCGAAACTAAGGTAGGTCATCTTTAAACGAATAAAATGATCAATATTTACTTTCCCAGTTCCCAAAACTCAATTTGAGCTTTCTGTATGACCTTTGAAAATTGGAAATCTGGTTCCAGACTTATTTCTGACAAATGTAATGGCAGAAATGACCAAAGATGTGTTTTTTTTACCTGCTGGCTATGTTTGGCATCAAATTGAATATCCCAAATATTTACACTATTGTGGACTATCTTTGATTTTCTTATATTTTCAGAGACATTTATGTATGGTTATGGAATATGTAGAAGGAGGAGATTGTGCTACTTTATTAAAGAATGTTGGACCTTTTCCTTTGGATTTGGCTAGGTAATGATTATTATATTTAAAATTCCTCTGAATGGTTTGAATTTTTTGATGCATATTTGTGACAATGGCTCATTTGTAGTCCAAAAATCACCACTCTAAACCCTAAAGTGGATCATGGAACCATTTTCAATATAAAAAGAACAGAAGAAAATCCTTTTTCTCATTGAACATAAATCTACAGGTTTTTGTCGGCCCTGTAGAGTTATTTCAGATTTAAATAGACTGTTTATTGACTTGACCTACAATAAAATAAATCATATTCCTTAAGTAAATGTGATAACATCCAGGTTACAATTTATCCTACTTTCCTTTAAGATGTCCAATGTTATTTTGTGTCTGTATTTTCAGAATGTATTTTGCTGAGACAGTGCTTGCTTTAGAATATTTACATAGCTATGGTATCGTACATCGAGATTTAAAACCTGATAAGTAAGTGTGATGTGTTTGTTTTGCTTCTAAATGTCATCCATTAAATATGTTATTGTAATTATTGTCAATAATTCCAGATGTTTTGGATTTAAACATTATAAAAAAAAACAAATTCTTTGTAAAAAAAAATATTGTGCTTATCTTGCAGAAAACATAATCAGACTTTTTTTTTTAGGAAATTTATGTAATAATGAATACAACATAAGCAATTATTTTGTATAGTGAAAATAACTATTATTCTGCTTTGAAAACTTTCCTCGATTATGTGTTGAATGGTGAAAGAATGTTGAAGAGGGTTACTGTACAAGGTATATCATGATGTCTGTTATTTTTTCAGCTTATTGATAACAGCTTTCGGTCACATCAAGTTAACAGATTTTGGTTTATCAAAGATTGGGTTGATGAGTAGTAAGTGGGAACTTCTACTTCTTATATGAAATTGAAGACATATACACATATCAAATGCATCAATCAAATATTGTTATTATAATAATGCCTGTTTTTGGAAAGAATTACAGCTAGCTATAGCAGTTTTCAGGATCAGACATTCGTTCTTCAAAATCTGTCAAGAGCTAAGCATGCTGATTTAGTGTTCATAACTTTGATGTCAAAAAAGTAACTGCAGATGCACTCTGGCAAAATTTGAAAATGTGATATTTTAGTGTTGAATTGTGAAAGCCAGATGAAAGCCATTTTTGAAAATTGATACAGTAAGATCAAATTGCAGCTGATTAAGCAATTATTTGAAAATTATATCCATTTATTTCTGCCAGATAGTCAGTTGTAATGGTTTCAATTGATTTATCATTATTTACATCTTTACAGTAACAACAAATCTATATGAGGGTACAATAGATAAACAGTTTCAAGATAAACAAGTATATGGTACACCTGAATACATAGCACCAGAAGTTATATTACGACAAGGCTATGGTAAACCTGTTGATTGGTGGTCTATGGGCATCATATTGTATGAGTTATTAGTGGGTTGTGTGCCATTCTTTGGAAATACTCCTGAGGAATTATTTTCTCAAGTCATTAATGGTAGGTTAAGAATATTTTTTACAGTTATACCACAGTCCTGTTCTAATGAAGTTATTTTCACTCCTGAAAATTGTGTTAATTTTTGAACCCTCCAAATCATGTCAAGATGTTACCTTCCAAATCATATCAAGATGTTACCCTCCAAATCATGTCAAGATGTTACCCTTCAAATCATTTACCCTCCAAATCATGTCAAGATGTTACCCTCCAAATCATGTCAAGATGTTACCCTCCAAATCATTTTCCCTGCAAATCATGTCAAGATGTTACCCTCCAAATCATGTAAAAACGTTTTCCTCTAAATCATGTAAAGATGTTACTGCACAACAAATCTCTTTACAGAAACTGTTGAATGGCCTGAAGAAGATGATTGGCAAGTTCGTGAGGATGCTAAAGATTTGATTAGTGCTTTATTAAGACATGATCCTGCTGAAAGACTGGGTTTTGCTGGTGCACAACAAGTTAAAGAACATTTCTTCTTCCATGGTTTAAATTGGGAGAATTTGTTGCGTCAAAAAGCCGAGTTTGTACCACAGTTGGACAGTGAAGAGGATACTAGTTATTTTGACTGTAAGTATACTCACCACCAATTTGGCAATTCTCAGCAGTTTCCATGAATTTTCCAGGAGTGAGCTGGTGGGTTTGCTATCTGGGATGTCACCTTTCAAGCCGTGTGATATTTTTATTTACAGCAAGAACAGAAAGATATAATCATGATTTAGCAGAAGATACAGAAGATGAACCAGATGATGTATTATTTCACAGTTTCTCCTCCTGTTCACCAAGATATAGTAAAGTTTACTCTAGAATTGAAGAGTTACATGAGGTGAGCTAATATCATTAATGAGTTTGATTTGTATACTTTAATTAGGATTTTCAACATCTATATATTGCTGGCCATGTACAATTTTGAAATTTTGAATGCAAGGTTAGAAATTGCATAATGAAATGAAAGAGAAGTTTTTCTTCCTACTGTTCTGTACCTAAATGGCCAAGGAAGAAGGACAACACCCAGCAACCCAAATTCCCACAGCCAAGGGATCGTTTTTGCCAGGACAGCAGAAATAGCATATTCTTTTCTGAATTCCCACTGCCAAGGGATCTTTAACTTTTGCCAGGACAGCAGCAATAGCATATTCTCTTCTGACTTCCCACTGCCAAGGGATCTGAAGTGTCAACCTAAACAATGTGCCTCTAATGTATATCCTCTTAAAGGGAGGAGCAGGGAAAATCTAATCCAGAAACCATTATTGTAAAATAAATTTTCTTTGACAATAATTTGATGACAAATTAATTTACTCCTTATCAAGGATAAGAAAGAGAAAGATAGAAGAAGACATTCAAGTGCTGATGATTTCCGTACGAGAGTATTGGAGAAACAAGCTTTAGAACGTAAAGATTCCAACCACTCAGAGTGCTCTGATACATCACTTGAGATACGATCTGTACTACGAAAAGACAGTGCTGATACAACTGACTCCAAAACTGATGCTAGTACTATTAAACTTGATGAAGATGTTTTCAGTAATACAGATAGGTAAATGTGTATTTATGTATAATAGTACAAATTTAAGATTCTTAAGCATTCAGTCTGTGTAGATCTACAGATCCATTTGTATTTAAATCTATTAAGATCTATAGGTCACAGTAGTATATCAGATTCTTGAGCATTCAGTCTGTATAGATCTACAGATCAAAGTAGTATATCAGATCCTTGAGCATTTCAGTCTGTATTGATCTATAGATCATAGTAGTATATCAGGTCCTTGAGCATTTCAGTCTGTGTAGATCTATAGATCATAGTAGTATATCAGGTCCTTGAGCATTTCAGTCTGTGTAGATCTATAGATAATAGTACTAGTAGTGTATCAGATCCTTTTGTATTTCAGTCTGTGTAGATCTATAGATCATAGTAGTATATCAGGTCCTTGAGCATTTCAGTCTGTGTAGATCTATAGATAATAGTACTAGTAGTGTATGAGATCCTTTTGTATTTCAGTCTGTGTAGATCTATAGATCACAGTAGTATATCAGATTCTTCTCAAACTGACAGTGACTCCTGTCATTCACCACAAACATCAAGATCTCGTCCAGCATTGAAAAATATTATACCGAGACTAGCTATATCTTCAGAGGAAGAAAAATCACCCAGTAGTAAAGGTAATATTTTTTAAGAAATCTCATTACTTCTCTCCACTGTGATTTAAGATTTAATTTTTACATGCATTTCACAAATATATTCAAACAAAGTCTTTAATTATGTCTGCAGACATATACAATATAAGGATATGAAAATTTAGTGATAAAGTAGTGGTCCTTTAATGTGTGAATCAAATACATGTGCTTATCTGATAAAATGCTTTTGGTAATGCATCTGGAAGTAAATGCTTTTAAACAACATGCATACTCAAAACTTGATCACATCTGGTTATTTGTAGCTTCCATAATTTGTCATGCTCAATTCCACAATGATGTAAAGATCTGTTTGTTGCAGACACAGATATCATTTACTGTCTTCAGCTTGTACTAACATTAACCATTATTTTAGATCTTTCACCAGTTGATGAAGGCAAAGAAAGAAGTATAATTAAAGATAATAAAAAATCAAAATCTAGTATGCCAAAATCAGCTTCTGCTACAGCTTTAACATTATTAGTTCATCCATCAGGTAGAAAATCGGGTGTGTGTTGTCTTTATATCTTTAGTTCCCAAATTTAGGCTGAATCACACTTGACTCCACTGAAAGGTGGACCAATCAAACAAGTTAGTGTTTGATAAAGAATTCTTGAATTTCTTGCAAGTCTTTTACTGATTGGTTGAATACGTGAATGACCTAGAACATTTCTTGTATAACAATTCTGTCAGATTCTGTGGTGACAAGTAAAATGGCCACACTGACTTCTGCTTGACAAAAATATTTTGATTAAATTTGTGATTCAGCCTTATTCAGTGATTTCACCAATTGTGAAAAGATATCCCATGCTTGTGTGACAATATTCACTTTCCCCTATCATTTGTATTATCCTGCCATTTCACCAACAGTGACCCCTCTAGCACTGAACATTGTATACCATCACTTACTTATCCCTGATTTTACTACAGAATACATGTTTAATTCTAGTAGATAGATTAGTTTTAACTACCACAGAATGGAATTAGTAGGATTCACTGCTGTATAGGTGAAGAAACTAGTAAATGAAAGCATATGACACATGGACAAGTTGATAAATGCCATTTTATATTACTTCTACATAGAAATGTCAGGGATAAATATTAAAATTCTAAAATTTGAACCTAATTTTCTCTTTTATCAAGTACTTTAATAAATGTCTCAGAATCTTGAAGCTTGTAGTGATAATTGATTGAATGTTATTTTATTTAGATGATTATTCATTTCAACGGTTAAACTCACCTGGTGGATCCAGTGCTAGTTCCAGAGATGGTTCACCAAATCGAGATTCATCACCACTAGCTAGATCATTGAAACCTCCAATAGTTATCAAACGAGGTGCTAGAGGATTTGGTTTTAATTTTCAAAGTGTTAGAGTTTATATTGGTGATTCAGATATTTATACCATTCAACATATTGTCACTGTGAGTCAGTCTTTTTTAGCAAAAATCTTTAAAGGATTTATGGTTTCCGCTCACAATGTTTTAATGGACCACAATCCATCAGAATTCAACGAGATGTTATCTTCCTTCATAAGAAAACAGTCAATGGCATGGTTAGGTATTTCATGTACCATATTGACAAATATTTTGAAGAATGTTCGGATATTTGGAGATTCAATTGTAATCTTTTGATACATAGTCAATTAAGGTTGCCAACCAACTGATGAGCCAGAAATTTATTCAACTATCTGATTGACCAAAAATTAATTGAATTATTGCCAATGTTTTTCAGGATGTGTCACAGAATAGCCCAGCATTTGAAGCTGGATTAAGGAAGGGAGATCTGATTACTCATGTTAATGATGAAACTGTTCAAAGTTTACTTCACACACAAGTTGTTCATCTTATAATGTGTGGTGGAAATATACTGACTATACGCTGTGTTCCCATAGAAAATACTTCAATTAAAACATGTGCCAAAAGGAAGGGAGGGAACCCAGGGAAGATGGCCCGTAAGAAGAAACAACAGAGAGAAGGAGGATCAAATAGAAAGAAAGGAAGATCATTATTTCGAAGATTGAGTACCAAAAAAGCTGAGCAACATGTTCTTCCTCATTCTCCCATTACTCCAAATAGAGCCAGTCCATTGAGCAGATCTTATTCCTCTACTGATACAACTCCTTTATCAGTTAAAACAGGTAGATCCCCACCTATAGCTGTACCTTGGTCACCAGAAACATCACCTCAGAATAGTTCAAATAGTAGCTCTCCATCATCCAGTACACCCAATTCTCCTGCTGGCTCAACTCCTCACTTTGGACGTCCAAGCTCTCTTCATGTTGTCAAACATAAGAAAGCTCAGAGTCTACAATCACCTCATAGAAGAAAGTCAGTGCATAATATTCCCTTATCACCCCTTGCAAGAACCCCCTCCCCATCTCCTCTAGCCTCATCCCCTACCAGAAGTCCTAGTCCATTGGCTTGTGTACATCAACAAGGCAGCTCTCTTCAACCTCAGAAAACTATACCTTCCTACCTGAATCCCCCAGCTCCTCAAACTTCCACACCTTCAAGGAAAGGATTTTCTCGTCCTAAGAGCTGTGAACCAAGTTCACCTCTACTTCGAAGAGCATTATCACCAGATAGACTCCATCCTAGTTCTGCTGAAAAAATTACCCCCCAAAGAGCCAGCTCAATTGAAAAATTAAATCGATCGGGGTCATCAGAGAAAAAAATACATCGCACAAGTTCTGCTGAGAAGGTCTCACATAGAGAGAGAGTCTCTGTCCAGCGTGCTAGTTCAGCAGAAAAGGCATCTGCACATAAAGGAATCGGAAGAGCACCTTTACAAGATAGGAAGTCTGATGCTTTATAGATATTGTTTATGTGGATATTATGTACATATTGTGTTATTAACTTTACATACTCAAAGCATAAATGTGAACAGTTAATTTTTTTCCCCTGTGATATTTCAATATAGAAAAAATAATTTCTGTCTTGGTTCGTCTATTTTTTTACTCTTAAATGTATGTAAATAAGAAGCTACGTACAAAGAAACTGTTACGCTAAAATTTAAAAAAAAAATAGAATTTGTGCTTTTTTGAGATATTTTCGATAAGTGACTACTATATATTGTGCTATAAAGTTGTATATATTTGTGTATATATAAGTGATGTATGTAAATATATGATATGATGTGATATTACTAGAATTCTAGAAACTGTATTAAATCTTTAATGGCTGTGATTCTTTATTTCATAATTTCATCATTTTTTCTTGAAAGTGTTATGTTGAATTGTATGGTCATGTTACAGGAAATTTTATTTCTCATGGATTGTAAAAATTAAGATTCAGTTTATAGTTTAATCCTAGTGATGTTATTGCACTTTAACCTCCTTTGTGGTTTTGTAATTGACCTCTGATAACAGTATTTTTGTATTTGACCTGTGCATTTCCCAATACATAAATGTATACCGGTACCTTTGTATTTTTGTATTGAGCTAGTTAATATGCATATATATACATATTGTATCTCTGTGGTTTTGTAATGAACTAGTTGATATTTTCTCTAGAGATAACTACGTAACATATATGTAGACACAGAATCAAATGCTAAAATGTATATTGCCTATGTTGTATTTTACAGATAAATGCATACCTCTGTATTCTTGTATGTAACTAGTTAATATACATATATGTAGACAAAGAATCAAATGCTAAAGATATATGTATCTACCAAGTTGTATGCATATAAATGTATGCCTCTGTATTCTTGTAATTAACTAGTCAATATACATACATGTGTACCTCAAGAGTTAATTGATATACATACTTGTTTACCTCTTGTGTTAATTGTTATACTTAGAAGTAAACTTGAAATATATATATAAGTGTCATGTAATTAACTAGGGGATACATTATACCACTGCTTTCTTATAATTAACTAGTTAATATACACTGATACTGTATACATCTAGGGTTAATTGACTTACATATACATACTTTTGTATTTGTGTTATTAATACAGACTTTGGCTTTCTTCATTCAATAGTGTTTATTGGTGTAATGATTCCAGGTCTTTCAAAAAATGCTTGTAGCAAATCAGGTTAGAGTGTTCGAATTTGATAACATTTGCTAAAGAAACTAGGGATCTTTAATAAGTCATCTTCCTCCTCTTATTCCATTAGACGCAGGTGTAAATGGGTACAGATAATATGGGAAAGATCAGCAATTCTTTGAATTAAGACGATATATTAACAATTGATTAAGTTAGAGAGTTATATTTTGTAATTAAACCTTCCATTGTATTATTGTTTATTTTTCTCATCATCAGTATCTCATTTCATAATAACAGTAGCAAGAAGTTTTAGGTTGGTTGGTATTCCAATGTTTGATACGCAGAGAAAGATTCT